AGTGAGCTAAACACCTTTTACAGGCAGCTTCCATGAAGCAATTAGTACTGGCCAAAGTTAAGCCACAAATGCGACGGACCAGACTATAAAGAATGGAGGAGGGGTGACATTGCATCTTTATCAAATTCTTGGCTGGTACTGAGTCCGGAATAAAATCATGACTGGGCTCGACGAAGGGACATACCCAGATTCGTTAAAATAAAGAAACGACATGGCAAATGCAGGGCAATGGACCCCTTTGTCACTCTGTATTCCCATTTCCCTTCCTGATGGAGGATTTCGATGAATCTCGGACGGCCTAAGATTAGGATTCTTTCCCCTGGGATGACTATCCTTCGCACCCTGTTCTAATCTTGAGCATGCTGTGGAAGAGTTCGGGGCGGGTGCCTATCAGCTTGCCCAGCGTGATGATGATCTCCTGCTGCATTACCGCCTCCCGCACGTCGTACTTCTGGCAACGGTCAAAGATGATGTCCGTGATCTCGTTGGGGTTCAGGGGTCGCAGGATGAGTTCCTCCTCATGGCCAAAGACGCCAATCGTGACCTACAATCAGTAAAAGTGCAGCAAAAATCATCTTGCTGAGTTCCAAACCAGCCTGAAAAATGTTCATGAAAGTAAGCCTTGGATCTATGCAGCGCATTTAAATCTGGTGAAATACATAGATGAAAGCTTTGCTTTTTTAACCCTGAAGAAAGGCTAGGTTTGACTTGACTTTGTATCTCTGAATCATAGCTACACCCCTTCCTCTTATGCCAGGCCTTTACGACTATTTGCTGATCCCTTGCAGCCATCGTGACGCTCATATTATGAAATTGAATTCAGTGAATTTATCACATTCTCACAAATTTCAAATTTAAGATGAGCAATAAATGTTAATTCCAAACACAGACGACTACGTAGGAAATAAATTGCTCGGGCATTGACTGGGAGTTTTAAGTTTTGACAACCAACAGTATTGAAGCTACATGAATCCAAAATTCTCAGTACACTATCCAAATATAAAACATACAACTCACAATTTTCCCGCTGACCAACATGGATGTGATGGAAGGAGACAAACTGTCCACAACTTTGCGCAGGATGCTGGCACAGTATCTGACCGTGGACCAGTCTTCCTTGACACCAGCACGGATGTAGAGTTTGTTCAGTGATTCCCCGACTGTACCTGTTTCACATCACGGGGATATCAGAAATGGTCCCTATGATCCGTTATGACAAAGGATGAGTAACTGGGTGTTGAACTGGCATAACAACCACTTGCCAACGGTGTTATTGAGCAATGAACTTGTCCCGAGTGCAATAGTTTGGCTAAAAACATAGAACGACCAGATACAGTCCCTTAGAAAAGTTGGACTTAACAAATGCTGACCCTTGGTGGTCATTTGTTCAAGATTTCTACAACATTTCAAACCCTGAAAGCACCTTTCTCTGAAACTCTCAGACAATGTCATGGGACTGTATTTACAACAACCAGCCATGCACTGCCACTTGAGGGTTCCAAACATGCTCAACCTTCACAGACTTGTCTAAGTTTCTGTGTGTGTACAAACCCAATGGACATCACCCAAGTGTGGGGACAAGTACAGATGCCACCCATCCAGCACTGTGTACAAAATAGACCTCTGCAATGCTGTCACACTTGGTGTGTACTTTCTTATGGTGCCCAGTGGACTGTGGGCCCCTACTGGCTCCATAGGGAAGTGTGCATGTATGAGATAGAGTGACGTTATCAGTGCTTAGGCCTACACACCAGATGTGTTTAAAAGTCCTGCAGGTTACAACACAGGCAAGCCCATGTGTTTATACCTCATCCAGTGTGAAGTGGTTCAAACAAGTCAGTGATCTGCCTTTGAAGGAAACCCAATCACAGGATAACCAACCCAGGAGAGAGTCCAATAAACTTGTGCAAAGAGTCAAGATTGCACTGAAACACGCTATTTAAATACAGGTCCAAGGTTAGGCAAAACATCATTTGTGAATAATTTGACGGCATGGCTGTTTAAGAAGTCACCGACCTTTATCTGTCAGGTAATTAAACCCTTCCCGATGCAGCAGTATTCCCAGAATTCCAGACTGCATTTCCATGTTGATGCTGTGCCGAAGTTTTTCCACAAGTTCCCAGGACTGCATATGCTCGTATTTCTGAATATACACAACATAAAACAGAGACCATAAAAACTGATACCTTGCAATTCTCTTTCCGGTTTTTCTTAATTTGCTGCTCCTCTCTAATAATTTGCCTTTTTTATTGAATTAAATCTTTTATGAGCTGTTCATGACTGTTAGTCACATGAGAGAGCAGTCGCTGAAAGCGGCATACCTAGGGTGTACACATTTGTTCGGGGGGTAGGAGTCTACAGCGAATGTACTCCACAATGTACTTGGCCTGTGAACATGTTAAGATTTCAAATGGGGGTGGGGTGGTCACCCCTGGGGTACGGATCTCTGCTGAGAGACACATGCTCCCGTATGCCCCCCTCAAACCGCGTACTTACTGGTACATCACTGTTTACCAACAAGATCCTTTAAAACTATTAAGGTAGAACGTTTCAGAGAATGTTGCAGGACTGACAAAGGTTCAGTCAAGGCCACTCTGACTTTATTTATAGGGTTTCCTTTGGAGTATTTGCTCCTTGGAAGCACATAGAATGCCCTACTCTGATCCAGAACAGCAGAGGATTGGAAAGAGAGGTAGGAGAGTCCTTTATAAACAAATTCCTGCATGTTTCATCATCTGCAGCTGCCACATTTGCCGCCAACTTCAAACAGTTCAAACAAACTGAATTACATGAGCTCAACCCCAGCTAGCTGAGCAGGAAAACATTTCTGAAGATCAACAGATGTTAATGAAATTTCAGATGCACCGTGATGGTTTACACATAATTTGACAGTGCTGGCAACATGCGCAATAGTTTCAACTGAATAGCTCACTAAAATTCCTGCAGAGAGTGACGTTATGACAGTCAATCATTCATAGCTGATACAGTTACAGGGAAATCTGACGCACTGAGGAAAGATAAAAGATGAAATGATGGCCTGCAATTTACAATGTACTCAATTACCCTGGATCATCAAGGTCACCAAAAAGGTCTCTCTTCAAAATCTTGGGACAATTTCATACCTTGATGTCAAAGACCTCTATCTCATACTCTAAGGACCGAGGTGAGCTGAGATGCCTGCTCTTGGCTTTCAGTGGAAGATGGTCAACGTTAAGCTCCTCTAGCCTCTTGAATAGCACCATGGAGGCACTGAGAGAAAAAAAAGAGAGCCTGCAATGCAACACCCTCCCTAGAAAGATGGTTTTCAGGAACATTTGTTGGTCCAATGAGCCAAGATAACAATAACACAGTACACTGAACCCCAGTTTTGATGGACAAAATTGATAAATAACAATATTAATATAAATATAGTATATGAGTAACTTCCTCTAGTAATGTTGAAATATCCAATTTAACACTCGAAGAAAGAGGTAAACCAGGTAATATTTTTTCGAAGTTAAAACACTAGATTTGGATACTATACTACAGTAGAACACGGGGCTATATATTTGTGTAATTTACATGAGTCTGGAGCTTGATGTGGAAATAAGTAATACGGGTGATCAGGTAAGAAATTTTCTCACCTCTAAAAGTGGGACTTGCAGACTATGGGCTCTAAGAGGAATCTAATAAAGGGGTTGTGTAAACTAACAAGATCTTAACACTATGAATTTAATGATGTCTCAAAAATGGAATAACCTATTTCTTTGATTAAATATTGAGTATCAAGATTTTGTTTATATTGTTTTAAAATTTAAAAAAAAATCGCAATTCTTTGTTTCCTCCAAAAATTTGAGGACAGGTTTTTATTTCCCTCACAATTACGTTGTAGTTCACTGTAATGGTGCCCAAAGCTATTAAATGGCGACTGGATTTGCAAAACATGAGAATTACTTGCATACAATTTTTATCAGGTAATACAAAATGGAAGCAAATAAATCTTTTCAGATATCAACCCATATATCCGGGGAGTTAAATATGAAATACAGATAGTAAGAACTTTCTCTCAGGTGCAAATTGTCAATGACTATACTGTCTTATTGGCAATATCAGGGGGAAAAATATAAAGTGACAAAAATTAGGTTTCGCCAACACTAATGACCACTTACACTCCCTCCGGTAGCTGGAAGTCCAAGTGTTCCACGAACGAGGAGGCAAGCAGCGTCTGGAGACGGTCTACTTTGACTCGAATGCCCCCGCATGTGCCTCTCTTGAACATGGCCAGCATGTCCAGCATCTCTGACCCCTTGGGCCCACTGTGTGGGGAACAAACGCAGCGGACTAGTTCATAAGTTCCCTCTGATAGATCCAAAGCTTGCCAAATCAATACAAGCATCACATGTTTTCTTTGGGTAAATCTTACATTGGGTGCTTTGACCCTTTACTGGCAAGCTACGTGGGAGACTGGTACATGGTATACATCTGCACTAGAGGGTAGCAGGTTGTGGGTTAGAGTCCCATTTGAGTAGGTGCATGAAGTTTGTCAGTGTGTCAATAGTTTGATCTGAATGCAACTTACATGTATTTAACATGACAAAAACAGTGCCATGTCTCTAACTGCTTCATCACATAAAAATACATCGGTATACCAACACATCGAAATAAGCACACATGTATAGCTTTACCTTTTAACCCTAACAGATGTCATAACAAAAAGCTGGCAAAATGCATGAACAGTCATCACTGTAAGAGGCAAGCTCAGTATAAACAGGACCTGATAGATTCTAGCTATCCTAAGACCAAAGTATTCTCAGGGTTCCAGCCAAGTTGCTAGAGGTCTATTCACTTCAAGGAGGATTGGGTCCAAATGCCTCAGACTTGAACAGTTATGCAGCTAGATCACATTCATCTGAACGCGTTGTGTCTGGTAAGCTTATACTTTACTAATAACACCTTCATCAAGATGAAATGCTAGGCAGAAGTGTGTTTAATATCATACTTGAAATGATCTTCCTTGATGAGAATGCAGATTGTTGGGCGGCCAGACATCGTCCAAGATCTCCTCATGAAAGCTACAAGGCTCTGAAAAATAACAAAAGAACCCATCTCAAGCCGACAATTTAGCAATCATTTGCATGCAAGCAAAAACTAACATGAACAGGTTCATCTGTAGCAGTTATCCCTAACAAGTTTTCTCTGTGCAACTTCCTACGTGAAACAAATACCATGCAGACGAAATGAGACACTGCGGAATGCTGAAAGTGCAACAGAAGTTATGTTGCACTGCGTAGCACTTGAGTGCTTGTAAAACACCAGTTTACAACTGCCTTGCAACAACTTGTCATGCATGTAGCACTGAGGGTTATATGTTGCATGTGTTGATCAAAGTCACAGAGATAAGTAATGTACCTTGATATCATCCACGAGGAGCGAGAGATCCTGATACATGTAGAAATCCGTCAAGTCAAACTGTAGTGGGTAGCAAAGGATGGTCCTGCCCAGGATGCGGTAGATCTTGGAGGTGCCCAAGCTACCGATGGGTCGAGGGGGTCGACCAGTCAACCCGAGCTTGTCATTGTGGCCAAGGAATTGATACGCCTGTGGTACGTTTGTTCGTTAATTATGCTAATCAGTTAAGTACAAGACATGTTGAGCATGTGGTCCGATATACACAACTTGATGGGACTGTTTGTACAGATCTTGAAGTGTTATTTCTCATGGCACTCTTACAATGATTACTGCCCTCATTCTTCCCCCAAACAAGACCAATTTCAGCAGTTGATGTTAGCATACATCCCTTCTCTGCTATCTGAGGTACTCATTTACACCCCTGTGCAGTATGTGTGGAGAGAGGTATTCAGGGTAAAGTGACTGGTCCCAAAACCACCTGCTGGATTCAAGGCCATGACCATACAATTGGAAGTCAAAGACCCTAACCACTAGGCCATCCATCCCTGCGCATGTCCACAAATGAGCATTCTCACTGGTTCAGCTACATATGACACAGAGAGAGTGAGGAGTGAGGAACACACTGAATGTGTACAAACCTGTAGCATTATTTTAACTTTGAAGACCAAAATCAACGTGCACAAAGATACTGTATTTTTCAAACACACTGTGAAGGACCACAGTGAATGTGTACAAACCTGTAGCATTCTGCCACTTTGCGGATTAAAGTGAATGCGCAAAAACCTTCTGTATTTTGTACATGTGAGGTTCACACCAAATCTATTCGAACCCATTCTTGATGAAGGGAGCATGTTTATTCCCAAGGCCGATTCCCCCATCCCCCCCCCTTATTGATTCCGTCCCTCATCTTACCTTGATGAGTTCAGCAGGTGGCCATATCTGTATGGGTTCAACCTGAGTTGGGGTCTGGGTCTGTATCCCGTAAGTTTGTAATGTCGCTTGCAGTCGAGCACTCTCAGCGATGAAAGCCATCTGAACAGTCAGGTCCTTAGAAGTATTCTATAAATGGCAAAGCCCACAAAAGAAACAAGAAATAGACTGGGACGGGATCCCTAAAAATGAGCCTTTGGGCCCTTTTTAAAGTAATTTTAAGCTGAAGAATGTGCTTATGAGTGAGAAGCCACTGTGTCTAATCGGATTAGTCTAAAGATCTCTACTGTACAAGATTCTGTCAATGCCTTTAACTCAAAAGTGGCTGTCGTGACTCCTTTTGTTATCCTGGGTCACAAATGAAAACATTCAGGCAGATTTAGAGTAAGCAAGTTTAGAATTTAATAAAATAATTGAAAAATTATTGAACAAACAAGAGCGGTGAAGAATGTGGAATTAAAGAGGAAAAATATGGGAGTAGGGTAACTTTTTAGCTACCTCAAATGCAGAGTATCTGGTGTTGTGTTTCATTGTTGACCTCACTGATGAGCGCAGATATCTCCCTACTGGATCAATCTCATCCATATCAACGAGTCCATCCTCTGACGATTTGAATAGAGATAGACAGCACACGAGGCTTCATGTTATTTCAAACAAGGAAAGGACCAACTCATACAATCACAGAAGCAATCACAATTTCAAGATGGTGTCGACTGTCTTTAAAGCTTCCAAACAGTCCCTTCATTTGATGTTCAAGAATGCAACTTCATTGGTAATATGCAGCCTTGCCTGATGAACACAGTGGACCCCCAATAGAATACCTGCTCTGGCTCCTCCTCATCATAGCTGGTACTCATGCTAAATGGTCCATGCCATCCCAGCACGTACATGTAAGCATGGTTGCACGTGGACTACCCCCCACCCCACAGGAATGTATCAGATCAGGTCACTCTTTCCTTACTGGCTACTCAAGATAGTGAGTCACTACTCACTCAACTGCAGGCAACCAGATACAATGACTGACTCTACAGGAATAGCTGATCCGGCCTCTCCCCCATGGCCAACCACTCAAGAGGAGTCATCACTCACTCAACATGCAGGTAATAACAAGATATACAAATACAGAATACCCAACAGGAATAGCAAATCAGCCTACTACTCATACTCACAGCTGACTACTCAAGATACTGAGTCACTACTTACTCAACAAGCAGGCAATGAGATACACCGACTGCCCCCATAGGAAGAGCTGATCAGGCTGCTCGCCTTCACGGCTAGCTTCTCTCGGTTGACTGTGGGGGTTTTTCCTCTCAGCTTCAATGTGTCTTCTCTCCACATAGTAATACTTAGGAAGCACAAATCCTACAATATTAAATAAGAAAAATGCAGGCAGTTTCTAATCAAAGGAGTGTGTGATAAGTTTAATTTCAAAACTTTTGAAGACTTAGCTCTGTAAAAAGTGTATTGCAATGATTCTAACGCTCCCATCTTTCCTGCCCATTTAAGGATAAAACCAATTGAAAAGATTTTTCAATAACTATTTGAAAACAAAGTTGTGGCAAAAATGCTATCTTCCTTTAAAGGCAGACAGCAACAAGTACACCTTATATCTAATGCTTCAGATCCTTTTGTGCGTCCTTCAATACAGTCAAATCTTATTTACAAGAGCACTGCTAATACAAGTTTCTGTTTATCACAAGGAAATGTTCAGGTCCCAGTGCTTTGTTCTTCATTATTTTGGATCATGATAACGCAAGGTTCCTGTTCCCGCAGGGTAATCCAAAAAGTCCGAAGGACATCTTGATTAAGGAGGTATAATAAATACAGTATGAATGCAGTGAGTGGCTCACCATTAGATGTTTTCTTCAGCAGTGGCTGGAGAAGATTATGGTATTCCTCTACTTGTCTGGTGTCCCCTTTGGCAGTACCATCGATCATCATGTACACAAAGAACATGGGCCATTCAGCCTCTATGTTGTCAAACATCTGAAAGCAAAAAAAACACAATGTACAAAACCATCACTGACAGAGCAGAATGACCTCCACAAGGCAATGACTGACACTTTGCTAAATGCCACCTTATACCTTGATTTCTGCAGGTCGGTAGTACGTCCTATTCTTGTCTTCCAGCACCGTTCCATAGCCGTCTCTCAAGAAACGCCGGAAGCCGTATTTCCCCTTCAACTTACGGATGATCTTATCAAACGTCCGATTTTTAACGGCTTCATCTTTGACAGCGAAGGCTGGGAAGCTAATGGTAGGAATAAGGGAGGCATCTGTGTTCTGCAGTGGCAAAGAAATTGACAGGAAGATATAATCAAATTTTGAACAGGAACTTCATAAAGTGGAATTGTACACCTTTTTCTAAAATTCTCTCAATTCCATAAGAATCAGAAGAAATGCTTAGACCCTACTGCATAAAATGTTCATACTAATTGAAGTGTATGTTCTCAAAGTTAAAAGAACCTCTTTTCTCATTTTCATTATTTTCATTTTAAGTAATTAGAGAACCTAAAATAGTGTTTACATCTAGATTTCATTCCTCATTTTATAATTTACTGAGGTTATGTAAACAATCATCACTTCATGCAGGCTATTTTATGCACTTTTTTTAGTATTTCTATAAATTGCTTTTAGCAATAAATTTAAAATTTGGCCAATTACTTTCATTTTACTTCAGTGGAGGTTTAATTCATCAGTACAGTCACTGAAACAAACAACTTAAATATTAAAACCAACATGTAAAAGGCAAAGCAATGAACACACCTTGGAGCTGCTCTCCCTTGGCAGCAGAGTTTGTAGGATGGTTCGATTCCTGCCGTGCGCATCTGGGTCAACGTACAAGATAGACCAGGAGGTTCCCTCACGACCAAAGAGGTTGAAGCCGTTGCTTGCTTCTAATGCTGCAATGGCCATGCCAATAGAACTGCCCAACACAAAATGGACAAACAAACAGGGAGATACTGAAAATAAAACTCACATTATTGCCAGTGTTTTCGAATGTAAGTTTTGACCTTTACTTTAACCCTCCTATGCTG